TTGCACACGTCACTGACTGATGGGTAAATTCTGGCTAATTTTGCATTTGTGTAATGCACTTTATATAATATTTTACATTGAATCAGGGCATGACGGGCACAAACTGAGGATTTATGAATCAAATTTTTAGCAGCCTCCCACTGTTCCTCCTCCACCCCAGCACCCAGCTCCCCCTCCCATGCTGTTTTAACAAGAGCTGCGAAGTTTGAAGTATCATTGTTGATAGAATTATATAAGAACGAGATAACTTTTTTCCGTTGTGGATCTAATTGTAGGAGAGTATCCAAAAGCGTTTCGGGGGGCCGATTGGGAAAGTGAGGGAACACCTTTTTAACATAATCCCTTGCCTGAAAGAACCGAAACAGATGAGAGTTGGGCAACTGGAATTTAGATGAAAAATCTGCAAAAGATGAAAAGGTATTATTACTATAGAGATCATTTACAGTCTTTATCCCCTTATCATGCCACAATTTAAAAACTAAATCGGTGGCTGAAGGCATAAAGTTACAATTTTTGGCTAAAGGAATTTGTGTTGAGGGTCCTTGCAGGCCAAACTTTTTCCTAAATTGGCTCCAAATAGTTAATGTGGCTCTGACTATAGGATTGTCCTCCACTAGAGAGAGGGGCAGGGGTAGCTGAGAACAGAGCAAAGAGGACAACGCGTAACGGCTACACGCCCTTTCAATCTGTACCCAGGCCGGCAGAGCGCCAGTATCATGTCTCCAATATAACAGTTTCTGTATATTGGTTGCCCAGTAGTATTGCTTAAAGTTAGGGAGAGCAAGTCCGCCCTCACACTTGGGGGACTGTAGCACCGATTTACAAAGTCTGGCAGGTTTTTTGAGCCACAAGAATTGGGAAATCTTCCTGTCCAATCTGTCAAAAAATGTCTTAGTGATCAGTACAGGGACATGTTGAAAAAGGTACAAAAATTTGGGGAAAATAACCATTTTAACCAGATTTGCCCGTCCTACCAGAGATAATGGTAGCAAGGTCCACCGGTCAAAGTCCTTCTCCATGCTCTCTAATAGTGGCAAAAAGTTTTTATTCATCATATTAGACAGAGAAGGACAGACAAATATTCCCAAATATCGAAATCCTGTTTCTGCCCATTTAAAAGGTGAAATTGACTTTGGGAGACTCCTTGCCAGCGAGTTCAAGGGAAATAATTGGCTTTTTTGGTAGTTGAGCTTGTACCCTGAAAGCTTGCTATATTGCTCTAGGATGTTAAATATTACTGGAAGAGAAGTAAGAGGATCAGAAATGTACAAGAGCAAGTCATCCGCGTAAAGGGACACCTTATGGGTTACCCCTGCTCTTAGAATACCCTTAAAACCATTCTCGACACGCAACCAGATCGCAAGAGGCTCTATTGCAATGGCAAATAGCAAGGGGGACAGGGGGCATCCCTGCCTGGTGCCCCTTCCAAGAGGAAAGGGTGAAGACACCATATCATTTGTTTTAATTGAGGCCACCGGTGAAAAGTACAGCAGTTTAACCCAGAGGATAAAATCATTATCAAAGCCAAAGTGTTCCATAACTTCATATAAAAAGCTCCATTCGACCCGATCAAACGCCTTCTCGGCGTCAAGAGAGACGATTATTTCCGGTGATGGGGTGCCTGGCGTATGGATTATGTTAAGAAGACGTCTAGTGTTATGAAATGACTGTCGTCCTATCATAAAGCCTGTCTGGTCTAGTGAAATAATGTGGGGAAGCACTTGCTGAAGACGGGTTGCAAGAATTTTTGATAAAATTTTAAAATCTACATTTAGAAGGGAAATAGGTCTGTAGCTACTACATAATGAGGCATCTTTATCATTTTTAAGGATTAGGGATATTGTAGCTTCTGATAAAGTACTAGGCAGGCGCCTGTTTGAAAAGGCCTCATTATACACCTCTGCCAAGACCGGTGCCAAAACCTCAACATTAGCCTTGTAGTATTCTGAAGAAAAACCATCAGGTCCAGGGGACTTCCCTGACTTTAAGGATTTGATAGATTCTTGCACCTCTATTATAGTGATGGGCCCACCCAGACCTCTCAGCTCATTGTCTATCCGTGGAAAACTGATATCATTAAGTATATTGTGTGACGAGGGTGGATTGGTAGAGGTATACAGTTCTGAGTAAAATGACGCAAACCTATTATTTATTTTGCTGGGATCAGAGAGAATCTCCCCTGTATCCGATCTGATGAATGGGATTAGTTTAGAGGTTGCCTGAGCTCGGGCTTGGAAAGCTAGAAGCTTCCCCGCTTTGTCGCCAGATTCGAAAAAACGCTGCCTTGTCTTAGTTAGTTGAAGTAGAGCTGTATTAGATGTAGTCAAATTGAGATCGGTTTGGAGTCTAACGCGTTCATTATAGAGGTCAGGGTCCGGATTGGCTGCATATCTAAAATCCACTTCTTTAATCTGAATCAGCAGGTCATTGGTGTAACTTAACTTTTTTCTTGTCAAATTAGAAGTAAAGCTAATGAGCTGACCTCTCATATATGCTTTTGAGGCTTCCCATAGGGTGCTTCTTGAAATGTTAGGTGAATCATTAAGATCAAAGTAGAGTGAAAGCTGGTTTTTTAAAAATTGTTTATAGTCTTCCTCGGTAAGTAAAGTAGAATTGAATTTCCAAGGTTTAAAACTACGGGTTTGACCAACCAATTCTAAATCTAAGGAGGCTGGAGCATGGTCAGATATGGCTATGGTGTGATAGTTACTATCCCTCATTTTAGAAAAGAGTCTGATATCAATAAGGAAAAAATCTATGCGTGTATATGTACGATGGGGATGGGAAAAGAAGGAGAACTGCTTGAGTGCTGGGTTTTTATGTCGCCACGGATCCACTAGTCCCAATTGGGTTTTAAACACATTGAGACTTTTAGCAGCATTCGATAATGGAACTGGTTTTTTTGAGGATCTGTCTAAACAGGTATCCTGGACCATATTAAAGTCTCCCCCTAATATTAAATAATGTTTTTCGATATCAGGAATGGAAGAAAATAGTTTGGGCACAAAGGTACTGTCATCCCAATTTGGCCCGTAGACGCAAGCTAGTATCACCAGAGAGTTCTGCAATTTGCCAACCACAATTATAAACCGGCCATCCGTGTCTGCTATTATTTTGTGTTGTTCAAACATGATATTGTTACGAATCAGTATGGCTGTTCCCCGGGCTCTGGCATTGAATTTAGAATGAAATACATGGCTGATCCAACTTCTTTTAAGCCGCCTTATCTCCTTGTTCCGGAGGTGTGTCTCTTGTAAAAAGAATATGTCCCCTTTAAGTTGCTGCAAATGCGCCATAACCCTGGCAGTCTTGGTGGCGTTTCCCAAACCCCTCACGTTCCACGAAACAACCCTCAGAATATTATCTGTGCTGGTCATCCCTTACTATTCCCGGAAGGTATATCCACTGCCTTAGCGAAGTCTGATTTGGCCGGAAGGAGACGGTACCTGGCATATTGAAGGCCTGCAGCTGTCGAAAAAAAAACAAAAAACAAACAAAAAAAAAAAACACACCACACACATTCGCGTATCCATCTCACACATACATCTAGACCCAGAATCCCTATAAAGCAAAAACAACAACAATGTATGCGTCCATCGCGCATCAGGGCATCTTCTGTCCCACATGAGACTTCCTTCATTATAGACTGACATTTTCTTCCTCCCTAAATCAAAACGGTCACTTGTCGTAAGGTAAACAATTCAAACCTGACAGCCAGACATTCAAACTCTGTAACTGTAGAAGAACTTCTGAACAAAGAAGAAACCCATAACTATTATAAATCAGCTTATTAACCTTTGATGCGTATCAGTATGAAGATAGATGGTCATCACGGTGTCCCATAAAGAACCGCCTGAATTCTGCTCGCAGTCGGTCCAGCACCACCAGCAAACCGATGGGATCCAGTCCTTATTCCACTGGTGGGCTTGAGCTGGATGAACGAAGAGAGTCAATATAGCGCTTGGCATCCTCAAGTGAAGGCAGGAACCTTCGGTTCCCATTCTCGGTCATGATGAACAACTTGGCTGGGTAGCGCAATGCAGGTTTAAGCCCCCGCTCGTACAGTTCTTTCATGACCCCACGGTAAGCTACGCGCTGCTGCAGAATCTCCGGGCAGTAATCTTCAAAGATGTGAAACGGGGTAGTCTTATACTTTAACTTGCCCCGTAGCTCTCGGGCTTTGCGTGTAACGAGTTCTCTGGTTTGATAGTCGTGAAAACACACAATTACGGCTCTGGGTTTCTCACCGGGTCCCGGTTTCGCTGTCAGCATTCGGTGTGCACGGTCCAGCTTCGGAGCCCTCTCCAGCCTGTCTTCCCCGAAGACCTCCAGGAGTAGTTGGGAGAAAAACGTTGTCGGATGAGATCCTTCTATGCCCTCTGGAAGTCCCACCAATCTGGCGTTGTTGCGGCGGCTCCTACTTTCCAAGTCAATTAGCTTAGCTTTCAGCCTGTTGTTCTCTCCGGTCACTGCAGCTAGCTCAGTTTGAATTGTCTGTATTTCGTCACTCATGGTAGTGGCCGCAGTTTCCAGTGATGAAATACGTTGGTGTTGGGTAGAAAGCAGAGATTCAAAGCTCTCCAGCTTTGTTTCTAGCTTAGTGAACGCCGCATTAAACTCCGCTGAGAGGGATTCCTTGTGCTCAGCTAGCGTAGCCGTTAGCACCGCTAAGACGTTCCCCTCGTCCTTTTTCTGCTCTTCTTTTTTTGTTCTGGTGGTCATTGTCTGGCTAAATGGTCACGTTTCCAGTAGAGGAATCCCCAAAAAAGAAAAGCTTGTTAAATTAACCAACACGAAGTGGAAATTAATAAAGTAGAAGTGTTCGAGGTGGGAGCTTCAGAAAAAGCGTCTACTCCATCCTGCTGCCAGAAATATCTCACAACTGTCATTTTTTAATGAATAAAGTTAGCTGGACGTGTTTATGTTTACTGCTCTAATATGCGATGAAACGTTGAAAAAGCTGTTCTTGTCTGATTATCTGTGATCTCTGTTTCTGGCAGGTGGCAAAAGTGGAGTACGTGAAACGGCGGCCCAAATTGAGGGAGGTGCAGGTGACGCTGGAGGATCATTTAGAGTGTATATGCACCAACAAACATCACATCAACCAAAACTCTGACACAGATAATGGTGAGCATCCAGCTGTGTATGTGTGTGTGTGTGTGTGTGTGTGTGCGTGTGTGTGTGTGTGTGTGT